GCGCCCATCAGCCAAATTTCCGTGAAAGGGACCTCGACTCCCACGGTTCCGTTTACTTTGGAGAAACATCCACATCGTATTTCAATTCACAGGACTCCGGAGTTGGAAGGCATCACCGCCGTTCGACGCCGTGAACTTATGTCTGCGGAAGGTTTCGAGTCCGACCTGGACTTGGCCTTCAACCTTCAACTGCAAGAAGCCATCACCGCCTCGCTCTCCGTTTCATTCTCTCCACCCAAATCACAATTAAGATCAACCGCCGAAAACGATGAATTTTTGAGCTTCACTAGCAAGTCTGGCGAACTCTGCAAATTCGAGCAAGAATTGAACGACCGTGCAGTGTCCGAAACTGAATTTAAGAGAATTCGGGACGATCTTCACTTTCAGATCCTCGATCACCGTGTGGCAAATGAAATGGCGACAATTCCGGAGGATCAGTGGCAGGAAAGTGGGAAACGTTTTGAAAGGCCGTACGGAGAGGGAAGTTCTAAAGGGGGAAGTGAGGAGATTTTTAGGGTTTATGCTAAGGGTTTGGTGGAGTTGTACTTGCCAACGGAGATTGTTTTGGGTGGGATTGGCATCGCGATATGCGATTCAAAGGATGAGTTGTTGTTTGAGTTGAGAAAGCCAGTGCTCGGGAATGGGATGAGCCGGCCAAGTGTAGAAATGAAGGCTTTGATTGAGGGTCTCAATGCTGCGAAGGAACTGGGTTTGAACAGGGTCGTTTTCTATAGCGCTTACATACCAATTTTCAATTACGTGAGTTCTGACTATCATTACTATTCGTCTGGAAATTTTGAAACTTTGTTATGCTGGTTTAGTTGTTCAGTTACACAATTCTTTTGCATGTAATTCAGTTATTAGTGATATAATCTTGAGTAAATTGACGTCAAAATTAGTTTATTACTGAGATATCACAATGGCACGCCATAAAAGTAACTACACAAATGTTGCTGCTTGTTATTTTTAAGTAATAGTCAAGCAAATTTCTGTGTTTTTGCATGTATTGCATCAATGAAGTATCAAAATAGACAAATCTCCAGTCTGTACAGTGTTCCAACCGTTTGATTGTGAGAAATTATTCCCAAATGTTGCATTTTTGTTATTATGTTCCCACACAGAGATACTGATAGAGTCGTGGTAGTTTGGGGATTATTTTTAACATGTTAAGTTAGATCAGTAGAGATTAAACTTGGTAAGACCTGAAAATTATTAATGTTGTTTCCATGATATGGATTAAAGGCAATATAAATGTAAAGTGCCAAAAATTATACTCAAAGTGCTGGAGGTGCTCCTCGTGCTGAGTTTCCATTAGGAGCCTCGAGCTCACACTTCGATCTCCCTTTTCCAATACTTGTGCATTGACTTATTGAGGCACAAGCTGCAGGGCAGCTGTGTTGCCCTTTTTGGCTGTTTCTTATCATCCTCCTTTTTGCTTTGTTTTTTCCACAACTCAGAATGTTTTTAACTTTTTCTTGATTTGTTTTAAACATCCCAACCCTCGTACTAAAGGGCTTGTAGCAATAATATTGAGTCGTGATGTTGTTGATGTCTTTTCCGTCCACACATTCTCCAAGATCCTTTTTTCTTAGGAGTGAATAAAACATGCATAAAATGACGATAAAGGCTATTGTGAATAAACATTGTAACTTGAAGTTTTCGATTTACCTATTGCTTTTGACATGGTTTAAAGGCTGATGTATTCCTCTAATGTTTATTTGGGTGTGGATGAGGATCCAACCTTGGCTACAGTTCATTACAAGTGAGCGGGGGATATTTAGTCTGGACAACCTTTTGAGGATTTGGGATCTTAGCAATTACATCCTTTTCTCCGAATGTTGTATGGATTTCTATTACAGCTACTGCTATCAGTAATGGTGATGCGTTATGAATATTCAGGCAAATGATTTGAGGTTATCTTTGTCTGGAATTTGTTCACGAGGAATTCTTTACTGGTGATAATGTGAGAAACACTGGGTGCTTGCTTTTGCATAATTGCCAATGGGGGCAACGAAGCCCAGACCGAACCATTTTAGATTGGTAATTGGTTCCATGTTGTAAGGGGAGAGCCAAGGGGACCAGAATCATATGGTTCTCTTCCAGTTCAGTATCGTTCTATACTTTATAGATCAGTTTTTGTTGTCTTGGCTTGCATATAGCCACAAATTGGCGCTACAACTGTGAAATTGAGGAATAAAAAGAAAAAGAATATTGTTAAATACAATTTAAAGTATCAAAGTTGATCAAAGAAAAAAAAATAGAAAAGTAGTACTTGATTGTGGTTCAATAAAATGGGGAACGACAATATTGATGTAGTACATTACAACTACTATTAATAAGTTTCACTTTATCTAGGAGTTTGTCCTTTTAAATTTTCTTTTCTAAATTTCTTTTCTAGTTGTAATAGTTTAAATTAGGATTAGTTTATTTCCTTTTAGAATTTAGTTTCCTTATATTAATAGAATTAGTGAATAGTTTTGCCTATAAATAAAAAGACATTGTACATTTTTTCAACAACAATGAATTAGTATTCAATACATACAAGACATGATTGTTCAGATATCATTCTTATTTATTACATAAT